TACATGAAGTTAACTGATCACCCAGAGCCATGAAAAGTGCTCTTTAATCAWTCATCAAAGCACCACTAGGTGGCGCTGTGTTGCAGCAGGTCCAGCCAGCCATTCAGAAAAAAACAAAAACAAACAAAAACCAGGTCTCATTACCTGTTTTGTTGCAGAGGTGAGTTTTAGTGGCTGAGCTGACAGAGTGAACATGCATGAGGTGAAAGTGTTTCTATCAGCTCCTCTCCTGCAGCTGAAGCTGCTTCCAACCAGCCGGAGACGTTGGTGCATGATGGGAGACACACCCACASACGATGCCCCGCTCGCACGCCGCACCGGCAGCGGTCGTACATCACGGAGAGGAACGCCCACGCTCGGCGTGTTTGCATGCACACGCACACTCGGGCTGTAGAACCTCCTGGGACACAATTCAAATTCTGCACCGCGGATCTCATCTGGGCTGAGTTAATCTGCCTCTCTCTCCTCTCCCTCCCTCTCCTCCTCTCCCTCCCTCCCTCCCGTGGCCGAAGGACGGCTGAGGAAGCCGGAGGATGTGGACCGGTGTTCCAGAGCGAGGGAGCCTCACGTCTTCGCCTCGCGCCGCGGCAGGACGGAGCCCAGAGGTGAGAGCGGAGTGGGGCTTGGGGGGGGGGTGTCGTGTCTGACTCCCCAGGTGTTGACAGGAGAGCAGAAAGTGAGGCTTGTAATCACACCCTGAAGGGTTTAACTTCTGCCTTTCAGATGTGTGCTTTTAATTTGACAGTGAACATGTTTGTTGCAGTAAAACACCAAAGCCACCGCGCTGAGGCGGGTCGTCCCGCAGCTCTTATTTTTACATTTTTTAAATAATTTGTCTCTCGTCTTGTGTTGCTGACCGGAGGGCTCCCCTCAGGCGGAGCAGATTTTTTTTTTTTTGAGGCATCTTCCATCCTTCTGTTGCCAGGCACCTCTCAGCTTCCCGTTTCCATTGGCAACTGCCAGGTGGTTTGATGAATAGCACTGGACATTCAGAATGTCCTCATGCTGCTCCAGATTGGGTCTCACGGCTCTGCTGACCCACCACACACACCTGGTTAGAATCAACACCATCCATCAGATTTTAGTAGTTTGTCAAACATTTATTCTAACCGAAGCTGCCGATGATCCGTTTGTTCCTCGAAACAATTCTTTTGGGTTTAGTCCAGGGGTCTGCAAYCTGCGGCTCTGGWGCCACACGTGGCCCTTCAGTCCCACTCGAGTGGCCGCCAAAAAGTGAYGAGAACCTGGATGATGATTAGAGTGAAACTGTTCTTCCCACTTCATGCAGCAGATGATGTCGGGTTTATCTCAAATTTTAACCAGAGAAACGGTAAAAAAAAAAATACAGTTTTAAATTAATGGACTAAACAAGCTTAAACTGAGAAATTAGGCTTAAAAACACAAGCTAAAGGCTAAAATAGCAAAATATTATTTGAAAATATCAAGTTTTGCTAAAAGCTAAAGTAACAAACAGGGTGAAAGTAGCTGAAAGGGACATATGGAAAACCGGTAGGGAGAAAAAAAAACAAAAAGTCTAGCTGTAGATAAAAAAAAGCTATCTTAAAATGATGAAGAGTGGCTGAAATCCAAAAATGGCATAAGGTAGCTGAAGAGTAAAAGTAGCTAAATGTAGTGAAATGTTATCTGAAAACATACAGCAAAGGACTTGTCAAGCTAAAATGAACAAAAAGCTAACTGAAAGCTAAATCTGGGCTAAGTCTGTAACTGAAATGTCTGCAGACCCCTGGTTTAGAGGATTGTAAGTGAAATGGTTACAGACCCCTGGTTTAGAGGATTGTTGGTTAAATGGTTGTAGACTCCTGGTTTAGAGGATTGTTGGTTAAATGGTTACAGACTCCTGGTTAGAGGATTGTTGGTTAAATGGTTACAGACTCCTGGTTAGAGGATTGTTGGTTAAATGGTTACAGACTCCTGGTTAGAGGATTGTTGGTTAAA